TTGTTCTTTCCCCATAATATCTAAATCTGAGTATATCATCCCCATGATCCAGTCACCTCCCCAAAGCTGCACATGGGATCTTGGGGGGGACATTTTAGATCTAAGCTATAAGCTCACATTTGCATTCTGTAGCCAAAAGGTCAAGAAAGAGGCAGCCTTGCAGGGTTGAAACGTTTAAACAATAGAAAAAGTAATCTCTACGACAGAGAAGAATATTCCCTTTATTCTTTGTGTACCTATACTTTATACGTATATTTTTTCTCACACAAAATCTGTAAATATCCCTGGCTAGGAAAGTATCTGGGAGCGACATGCTCACTCCATACAAACTGTAGTGCTCAGATTATTTTTGATCTATACAGCTCTTCTTCATCAACTCAATAAGTAATAGTGACTAAAGAGAGTATTAATAAATGTAATAATGTTTCCTAGCCTGATGTTGAAGCTAACAGTATAAAGGAAGCTATTATTATTTTTCCTGTTTATCTCCTCTTCTTTCTCTAAATATAAAACTTCAGTACATCCATTTGTTCGTGTTGCCATTGGGTTTGCCCTGCTCTGCTCTTTGGACCGGAAGCCCTTGCAGAATTGGGAATACATAGTTTTATCCTCATAACCCCAGGGCTTAGCAAATCTCTTGACATGTATTAGATATCAGTAAATTTTTAAGTAAATAAACTACTATTTTTAAGATACTTCTGTTAGTTAACTTGACTGATAAAAAAGCCAGAATATTCAGAGTCATGATACAATTTGTTTTATGAATATTACTAATCTTAAGTCTCAGTAGCAAAAATATCAAATGCTGTTTCAATTCTCTAGATTTCTTTTCCTCACTATTTAGAGCAGCATTTCTCAACTGCCAATCGTATGCCCTGGAGACACCTTTAATCGGTCTGTATCCAGTTCCGTCTGTGCCCTCGTAGGATAAGGTGGAATTCACCTTCCTAGCTCTTCCTCTCTTGCTGTTCTTGCTGGTACGCATTCTTGGTTCTTTCAGGGCCTGACAACTGGTACTGTGGGGAATGGTAGTGCGTATGAAAGGGCACATAAAGGTCCTGCAACATAAGATCTTTATAGTCAGATAACCCTCTGCCTATTTGGAGACAGCAGTTACATAGTCTTGAGGAATCACTTTGAGTTTCAGTTCAGTTTCTTATGAGACAGAATTTCAATAAGCATGGAAAATAATAAAGAGAAAGTTATTTGGCCCATAAGGGTTTAGGACTCAAGTGACAAATTGCCAATTATTATCAAACCATTTTAATCAGTTGCATAAAGCACAACAATTGTTTTCTGTACATTTTACTATCGGTGCTATCTATCTTAAAAGTTAATCACTAATAAAATTGCTAGGATTATTTTTGTGGAAATCTATCAGATGTATTTATTGGAGATGAACTATGGCTTCTGACTCAGGTTCGAGTTTGGTTTTGGGAGCAGATGAGAGGAAGATGGTAGAAATTCCCAAAGAAGTTCCTACCCTATTAGGGTTATTTCAACCCATCCTATTCCATTCACACAGGCGATTGTACAGTGTGTTACCTGGGCACAGTCACTGCCTGGTGACTTTCTGAACTCTGATACCGATGTAGGTGCCTACCCCAAAGCTTTCTATTTGAGCAGATGTTTCAGTGAGTCGGCAGCGTTCTTGGTGGTGCAGTCGCAGGATTCAGCTGAATCTCTCTCTCCCTTTGAACATTTGTCATCAGGGCCACCTCTCTCCACTCTCTGAGCTGCACGGCCCATTCGAAACAGGGCGCGCATCTGCCTTCTGTCCAATCCTGTCTGCATGCTGCATTCATCTCACGACAAGTGGCGTTATGGGCCTGACTCTTGCCAAAGAAAGGGCGATGTGATTCATCTCTTCCCTTGTGAAGGAGGCTCGCTTCACAATACAAGGCCAGGATGGAGCAGCAGAGATGCTGGTGGTAGAGTCAGTGTTGATTTCTCAGGGGGAAGTGAGCACAGGGGTCCCCTCTGCAAGTCAGAGTTTCCAGTTTTCGGCTTCGTATTATAATATGCACAGACAGTATCGCCTAAATATCCCCTTTTGAATAAAACTTCATTTCCAAATGATTTTGGGGGCTTGGATCTTTTATTTGTTTGGAGAAAGTAGTTGACAGAATAGGGATAATACATATACGGCCATGCTTTTCTGTTCAATATGGTTTGGCAGATATTTTTAGCCCCACATCCAATGCCATCTCTTCCTTTCTTAGTCGCAGAGCCTGTCAGCCCTAGGACCTTCGCTATTGTTACCGGCCTGGGGGTTTGGAAGCAGTGAGATCTCAAGCAATCCTGGGAAGGACTTCTCTCCATCTTCAGGGAGAGCCAAGTACACAGAAACTCAACTTGTTTACGCCCTTCCTCTATGCTGTGGCCTTAGTTGTAGCAGGGATCTTACAACTGCATTGAGATTCAGGCTCAGTACTCAGAGGGTGACAGGGACATAAGATGGGAGCAGTCTGGGTTTTTGTGAGCTGGGCTGACATTGGCCGACTCGCTCAGGTCTTCTGGTTAGGTAGGACTGTGAGTGTCAGCACTGCTTCAAGTGGTTTTGGTGAGAGATTTTCTTCTCCTCACAGCAGGTCTCCTCACTAATAAACACGTTTCTTTTTTATATCTTCATATTTGGAGAGAGCTGAGGCATCATTTTAGTGGATTTGTGTCCAGAGATAGCGAGAGAGCACTGGGCCAGGAGGAGGTGGGGATCTGCAACATCTAGATGAAAACAAAGTCTGCAGGAAGTGCAAGATAATTTCCAGGAAGCTCTGAGATACAAATCCAGGCAAAGCCATACATTCAAGTACACCTGAAGCTGAGAATGAAAGATAAAGCAGAAAAGATCAGAAATCTCCAGGTGAGCAAACAAGCAAGGATATGGGTCAAATAAGGCCTGAGAGAATTTTCTCAGAAGGGTAGAATACTTGGGGCTGAGAGCTGCAGAAGTCACAGCTACAGAGATAAATGAGCCATTTTTTCTAACATCCCCGCATCTTTAAATTCCCCTGTCTCTGAGCTCTAAACCATGGAAAGCATCTTGAGTTAAGAAACAGATTTGTTGGTATGTGAGTGAAAAGTTCTGCTATGAGAATTTCTGCAGGATAGTTCCTGTTCTGAAGTCACCAACAAAAGCAACTTTCTGGGCTGGGGATTTAGCTCAGTGGTTCTGACGCCTGCCTTGCAAGTGCAAAGTCCCGAGTTCGATCCCTGGTACCAAAAAAATAAAAGCAACCTTCTCTTCAGGAGATGGTAAAATATGATTAGGAATTATACATACAGCATGTTTCAAGTCATCAGGTGATGGAGCCGTTCCTGGGAGACTGAGCTTGGTATCTGACTGGTTACCACAATGCCAAAATAACAGCACCATGTTGTAAAGGGGTCTTATAAAATTCTGGTGAAATATAGTAAGAACACACTGCTTTTTTCTGTCAAGGTGTTTTTTGTTTCTCTTCAGATACATGTGCCCAGTGTCAGATATTCACACCATAGCCAAAGACTTTTTTCTAGTTGACCTTCCTTTCTAGTTTCCATCCTTTGCTTCAATTATGCTTTCTCTAGCTTTTGTGAGAAAAAAAATGTATGAGAAGAAGATGTAATGGGGCCAGTATTAAGAAAACTTGTTTCAAGAAGTCAATAGTTTGCCTGAGATAACAAAGATAAGCAGCAGAATCATTGCTTGAACCCACTGCAGACGTCAAAGCTCAGGTCATTCCAAACTCTGCTGTTCCTCAGCTGCCCTCTGGAGGCTCAGACAACACATTTACAGTGTTAGGGTCATTATTTTTAAAGGCGAAAGTAGATCTAGACACATCAGCCAAAGCAGGAGTGCGTCATCCTAGTGCTGCTGATGTCATTCTGAGCCCAGCTAAGTGGATACTGCAGCCCACTCAGCCACCTCTCACCCCCTCTAGATGACTCAAGGGTCTCGCATACCTTCCAGAAGTATTCAACCAGCATCTCACATGGAACCAAGAGTGGCCATGTGGGAGCCCTCTCAAGTAACAGTGGTTTTCCTAGAGGGTGGTGCATGACTACTGTGCTTGCTCCTCCCTTTCAACCCAGAATTATGTGGAGTCAACATTGTCCTGGAGGCCATGCTGTGGGTGAGTGTTCTTTCCCCTCACACCCAAGCAATCCATGGCAGTATGAGCTGAGCCATACATCAGGGCCATCTGCAAGTTCCAGAACAGGGGGCTCAGTCAGATTTCACTGCCCACAGCAGCAAGTGGAGGGAATCATTTGTAATGTCACAGTGTCATATATGTCAATTTGCCTTTGGCTGTGACACCAGCCATGGTGTTCACATAGTGTAATGTAGTTTGTTTTGGAGACGTGAAGGTTAGTTGACAGAAGCAATTTTGGAATTCCTCATCCTCCTGGGGCTTATCTGAACTTTGACTCCAAAAACAAAGACAGAATGCACTTCTTGGACAAGAGTAAGTGCTGAGATTGTGCTTATATCTGGGAAAGTCTGCAGTAGGTTAGAGACACTAGGTTCTCTGATAAACTGAAAATGTCAACATGCCACATTTGTGTTTCAAGAAACTTATTTCAGACTGCTATTTACATCCTAAGTTATAGAGTTGGTTTTTATTGCATTTTTCATTTGTTAATGTATGTTTTAACCTCTGAGCACATGAGGCATTGGAGGGATATTCTAGAGCTAAACCATATATCAATGCGCTTAATTATCAAAGAGACTCATGAGAAATATCTACTGTGATTGTGATCTCTAATTTACAGAAAACCTGGCTGGAGACAGGAGATGTGAGCTCATATGGCACTGTTACATAATAGGTATTAGATTTGTACCCAGGTCAATATAATTTTAGATCCTGGGCTCTTGAAGGCCACATTTTATGTTTTGTTTTTTTTTTTTCTGGTACTGGGGCTTGAAGTCGGGTCCTTGCCACATTTTATGTTTTCAATCAGCCCTTGATTTTCTCCTCATGGCTGAGAACATCACTGAATTGCTTGTTGTCTTTCCACAGTTTATCCTTCTAGTCAAGCATTTGGGAGAAATTCATCAGCTTGGATTTACAGTTTCTCCCCTGGCCAGCCACAAGGGGCACCCTTCAATGGAGAGAAGAAGTACAAATAATGCAGAACAAAATGCAGCCTCTTCAGCCTGCACTGTCCTCACCCCCATCTAAACCAGATTTATTGCTGTTGTTATTTTGGTTTTCCTTCTTAGCTGTGAACAACAATACTGTGTTATTTACCACTGACCTGGGGGCTGATTGAGTTCAGCTCTGGGGTACTTTTGCTACGCACAACATTGGCTGGGCAAGCGCAGTGTTGCTCTTAGTTGGGAGTGCAATCAAAGTCTTTCTCTTATTCTCTATGGTCCCGGTTTTTAAGGTGAGAATCATGATCTCCCAAAGGGTCTTAAAACTGATTTAACTGGATGTAAACTGCCTAAGGACAACAACGAAAAGGAATTGACTAAAACATGAGCTCTAAGAGCATATTCAGTTAGGATATGGTGAGATCCATATTACCTAGTAAGAATAACCCTGTGTGACAGGGTTTTTTTCCATTTCAGTGAAGAAAAATGAGAATGCCTAAAAGTGTAGAATATATTCCTTCCCGTGGACCATGTGGTGAAGCTACTGTCAGATCCACCACAGGATGTCACAAATCATCGTGACAGTGTCCAACATTAGGAGAGCAAGCTGCATAGAAGGGAAGCGGGGATCCTAGAAAAACAGAATGTGGAGAAGACAGTTTGTTGCTGAGTCCAGTAATGGGAAGTTTAGTATTTGGGAAAGAAGGAATGAACACACACACACACACACACACACACACGCACACGCACACACACGCACACACACACACACGTGGATTCTTTGATTCAGAGTTCATTAGGAGTCCATTATTGATGCTTAAGGGAAATATTCTCCCACGTACACTCTCACTCTGTATATTTCAGCAGCCCTGCTGAGAAAAGAGCTTCTGGGCCAGCTTTTCACTGGGAAGATGCGTCTCACAGGGCGGACCGAGGCATTCTGAGCACTAAGGAGAGCACTTCCTGTTGCAAATGGAATCACATGGATTAGGTTTGTCTGTGTGTCTCACTGGGGTTTACTCTGTGGATTGGCTGTTGGGAAGAAATGCATTTGAAGGAGAGTAACAGCGTTACTGCCTCGAGGCAGAAGAGAGGCTCTGTGAGTGCTCCTTTTAATGTTCCAGTTACCCGCAAGGACTGCTCCTCAGTCGGTTGCGCCTTCTCCCTCAGCCACTGCAGCTGGCTGCATTGGGTCAGCGGAACTGCCTGCTGCAAGACAGCGACACGACACTGGTTTGCAAGTGGCTCCTGAGAAGAAGCCAAGAGAGCGAGAGCAGTGTGGTTTCATGTAAACGTGCATCCTTCTGCAAAACGTCAGGCAATAACTGTGAGGTCGGAGCTAGCACCGGCAATTTGCGGTCCCTGCACATAGAGCAGCCCACTGTGGGGCCAGAACACGCGCTGGTGCTGACTCACGCTCAGGTCAGCGCACAAGGGCGACGTCCAGCAAGGAAGGGGTCAACGTCGCGCTCTGCTTCTGATGTACATTTGTCTGAGAGGCCATAAGATAACAAAAAATATTATATTAAAAACACCAGCATATTGATGACTCCAATCCTTATTGATATACAATAATTCCTTGATCTCTTCAACTTTCATTTCCTTCATCTATTTAACAATATACACAACAGGGGACTACTCTACCACAAAGAAGGATAAACTTAAGTCATGTGTCAGAAAATGGATGCAAGTTGAGACCCTAACGTTAAGTGAAATACATCAGACACACAATCTTAAATATCATATGGTTTCTTTTATATGAGAAACTCAAAGTATAAACAAATCAAAGAGCAGAATGTAAGACAGCTAATAGGAATGGGGGAGATAGATCTTCTGCAAAAAGGAAAGGTTACCAGAGATGGGGGAGAGAATAGAAAGAGAATTAAGATGTAATGTTAACATGTCCCATGTACCATGTAAGATGTTGGTAACTTGTACCAACTCCCCACAATGAATGCAATCATTATGTGCTCCAAACATGTATTAATAAAAATGAAAATTGAAAAAAAATGCAGTAAAGGAGAGAAAGGAAAAGCAAGGAAATAAGACACCAAACTGTATAGAAGTATTAGAAGAAAATAAGGTGGTATATGGAAAACATTTAGACCAATGCTTGCATCAGAGTAGGTCCTAGTGAAGTCTCCACACCACTGGTTTGATGGTGACTGTTTTGTATATTTTATTAAAAGTACAACGATGAAAAATTCATTGCCATAAACTCTGCACACTCTGAACTTATTCTTCCATTCATTCATTTTATTAAACATATACCTATTGCAATCCATGAGTTCTAGAAATATAAACAGGAGTAAATTATACTTCTGGCATTTTAGAAGCTTGTATTTTACCAGAGGAGAAAACACATAAACTAATGACTATAATAACCACGATGAAAAGTATAGGGCAGCAATTATAAAAGGTATAGATATATTAATCAAAGGGATGAAACAAAGCTCTAGAAGGAAGTGAGACCTAGTTATATTGTTGCTTTCACCATGAGTTATGTGATGTTTAGGACTCAGGTTAGAATAAGCAGGAGTAGGCAAGAAAGGCAAACCCATACCCCCTTCTAACACAATGCACACACCCACATGCACACACTTGCACACACACATGCACATAGTCCCTCTCATACAGTCCTTCCTTTCTGCTCCAGCTTCCCAAGACTTGGAGGCACCACTTGAGAAACCTTGCAGATATTCTGCAACCACAAGATGCCAGTTGCTTTACATACATTACTTAAATTACTGTAAGTCAATGGGGGCAAATAGCCTTGCCTGATTTTTCAGATAACAATAGGAAGTCATGCAGTAGTTGTATGATTTTTCTCCCTTTGGTTAATTATCACTATTCCCATTTTTTCTGAAGACTGCCCTTCACTCTCTAGAAACAGGAGGGCCCTCCCCAGTCACGGTGATTTGGGTGCATGGATAAAGGGAGAGGGAGGTTGTGCAGCTCAGGGAGATTGGAGATATTTCACAGATTTGTGCTGGGGCAGGGAGCAAAGTTTTCTCCTTTTGTTTTGAGCAATGTGTGTATGGATGTGATCACAGAGCCGAGAGCAGCTTTGTCTGTGCCACAGAAGAAGGGAAGAGAAGGAGAGGAACTCAAGGCAGAAGGAAATAAAACAGCACTGTACCTGGTTACAGACAGGGAAGCAATTATTTGATGCCACAGGCCTGAGGTATCAGGGAAATGCAAAGCGTCTGCTGAGAAACTACTGTTTAAACTATGTCCTGGTTCCTGTGAGCAAGTGGTGAAATTGCATGGCCTTCATAGTGATGCTGTCTTTGCTGAATGGATTCATTGACTCCCTCTGCCATTGCCTTCTGTTTGTCTGTAATCACCCTTCCATGGGACCCTGCTGAGAACCTGGCTAATCTGTACTCTGTGACTTGCAGACAGCCTGGATGGCTCTGCATTTCACTGGGTGACTCCAAGGAGAAAGTGGGACATCATAACTCAACGATCCCCAGAGTTTTATACCGCCTTCCCCCTCCCGCTTTTATAGACTGGTCTTATTGGAATTCTACCAGTTTTATTATTTAATTAACAATTTTCTTTAAATTTATTGTTTGTGTTTAGCGTATGCTTACTAATCACCATAAATAATAGGTTTAAGGTACTAACTGTATTGCTTTTCTAATGCATATTAAACTACACATATAACTATTAAAATTAAAGTGTTCTCATGTGCTACTATTTATATTCATATTATGTTTTAGAAAGTATAACTTTTTTTGTGGCCACTTAGTAATAGCTTTTAGGAGAATGTCATTTAAAATGAAAGGGGATGCATTTTTCTATTCCCTAAATAATTTAAGGAGCTGGGAATTAGTTTCCAAACTCACTTGACAATTTCTTTAAGAGTCGCATCTACACCAGTGAATAAATCTTTCCAACACCTGTTATGTTTGTTATTTGAACACTAGTATTTCTTGCTGAGAATATTGAAAGTGAATGAAAATGAAGAAAAGTAATTTTTAGCAGTGATATGGGGCAAACAAAAACAACTTCTTGGTTACCCGTTGTGACCGAAGAAAATCCTTTGGTGCTTTGCTGCACAGGTGAGGAAAGCAGCAGATAGAGGAAGGGTGAGAACCTAGCAGAATTGCTAGTGAATATTTCAGAACAGAAACATGATTCTCCATTTTAAAAACTGTGAATTTCTGTAATGTAATCCTTATCCCATCTCTTGTAGTGCTTAGTAAATTATAGAATACAATAAAGGGCCTGTTGTAGGGGTGTGTGTGTGTGTGTGTGTTTGTAAACTCCACAGTTTTCCTCAAAGGCTGCACTAATTTATGTTCCCATCAACAGCGTGTAAGCACTCCCTTTTTTACAAATCTCTGTCAGACTTGTTATTTTTTGTGTTTTCTAATAAACCATTTGAAAGATGTGAATCGATAACTCATTATAGTTTTGCCTGCATTTCCCTGCTGATACTGAACAACTTTCCATAGAACTGTTGGCTAGTTACGCTGTTGGCCTTTTGTCATTAAGTCACCAAAAATGCTCAAGGCTGGGGACATAGCTCATTGATGGAATCCTAGCCTACTACGTGCAGAATCAGGAGTCATTCCACACCCCCTAAAAATAGAAGGAAAACGAGACAGTCTCGAGATAAAATCTGACGTGTGGCTATGGAGATTTATTAGAGCCATTGTCCACAGTGGGTGGCCTGCTCCCTGGGGAGTCAGTGGATCCCAAACTGCTCAGTACGGAAAGCTGAGAGCCACTGAAGGAGACGGACCAAGGACACAGTGGCAGGAAGAGGCCGGAGGTCTGGAAGCTCCCTGGTGAGTCACTTGTGTGAATCTGTATTGAAAGGCTGAAGACACTGGAGTCTAATGTTCACAGGCAATGGAAATAGAAAAAAAGAAGAAGCACTTGCAAAGCTCTGTTCCACCTGACTCTTGATTTGTCCTGTGTCTTCACGCATCTCATTGCAGCCACCTCTGACTCTTACACACATTTCTTCCCACACCTTGTGTTGGCACTACCTTATCTTCTCTTCTTGCCCTATCTTGTTTCCTGTTAGTCATCACTATCTTACATATTAGACTTGCCTGTTGGCACTCATCTGTCCCCACTCCTTGGGATGTAGACTCCATAATGACCGAGGTTAGGCTCAGTGCTGGCTTCTGTCAGCTTCTGACTCATGGAACTTCCTTGATAGTACTTGATGAATGAATAATCTCTGCCTAACCTCACAAGGAATGCTCTGTAAAATGGAAGGTGAATCAGTTATCCTCTTCTCTCAGCATCACCTGTGCCGTGTTAAAATGAAGATCGATAGGCATACTCAAGACCTGTGTGATTTTGAAGTTTTTGGCATACGGGACAGGAAATCTGTATAATAAACCAGCCTCGTGATTCTTATGCTCACTGACTAATAAATTTCTATAGGTCGGATTTTGGGACCCACAATCTTTTTTCCCTTGTGGTCTGCCTGTGAAGATGTAACACTATGTGGTAAGAGGAAATGAAGGCAGCAGGTAGAATTAAGTTGCTAACTGGGAGAGTGTTAGATCGGGAGATTGTCCTGAATTATTTGGGTACTCTTCCGGTCATCACATACTTCTTCAAAAAAGTAAAGAAAGAGAGAGAAGGTAGAGAGAGATGACATAGAAGGAGGAAGAGTGTTTCAAATACTCTAAGAGGGATGCAGCCCATTGTCATTTATTTTGAAGATGGCGAGATGGAGCTGCAGCAGATGGGCCTGGCCATCAACTGGTTAAAAGTAGTTAGAGCTCAACTTTATAATGGCAAGGAACTGAATTCTTCTGACAATGGAAATGTGAAGGAAACAGACTGATTCCCCATTGGCACCTTTATAAGTGGACACAGCCTGGCTGATACCTTGTTTTTAGCCCAGTGAAATCTATTGAATTTCTACCTATAGATTAGTGAGATAAGAAGTTTGTGTTTCTTCTTAAATTACTAAATTTGTAATAATAAGTGATAGTTTCCATAGGAATCTAATACAGCAAGTATGGAAAACATATTTTTACAGTATTGTAGATACATCAGGGCCTTATTCATGTGTAGGTTTTAGAAGGAAAGTGATACATATTATAATTTATTTTTTTCAAAGAATTGTGTTCACTTAAAATCTGTATGAATTTAAAACAAAGATTACATTCTGCTTCTAGATCAGCCAGTTCTTTTTGTCAAGGAGGATTTCATGGGTTCCTAATCAAAGAAGAACAATTCCAGGCTTGGTCCCCACAGTGATGTGGGAATGTGTGCATGGTGCCTTTGATTTCTTTCCCTTTGTCTGCTGCATGAATCTCTGTTGCTTGATTTTAGAAAAACTGCTTTTGCTTGAGTGTCTGTAGCCTACATGGGGATTATTTTTGACTATGGGAATTTTTCTGTTCTGATTCTCTGTTCAAGACCTGGTATATATTCCCCAGGAAGAGCTAAAAACATGTGCTATGATCCAGTGAGGTGCCTCATTAGTCACTGAGTCACTGACAGGGAGCGTAAGGTCAATCTGGACGTCAGCATTTTATTTTGGGTTTATTTCATT